TCAGGCAAGGCAGAGGGAAAGGGTCAAATGCAGCCTTTGATGTGTCCTGTGAAGGAACTGGCAGGGAAGTGATGTCAATTCAGGGAACTTAGGGTTTGCTTATCTGTGTATTTTCAGGTGCAGAGATGTGAAAGGGTTGATTTGGCTCAGTGTTACTCTTTACTGGAGCAACACAGTTTGTATGTGAGGGAATGCTTGTTTGCCATAAAAGAGAAGATGTAAAATCCCTGGTTAGACCTTCTGGTAGGATTTTTTGGTGTTACTGAGCTGAGGTTCTTTAACCTTTCTTTTGAGAGTGACTGAATCCAGCTTAATCTCTGTCACCTCTCTCTGAAACTCAGTTTCACTTGAAAACAGGCAAGAGATTAGGAGGAAAACTTAAACTTGACCGAAGATGTTCAGGGGTTATTTTGGGTTTGAACCTAGTTCTGTCTTTAAAATTAAATTAATCCCTAGGCACTGTCAGTTAGCCCAAGGATAATGGGTGTAGCAGGGAGCATTGATTTTTATTTTTTCCTTCGGGCATGTGGTCAGGAGTATGTCATCTGTGTTTCTCATTCAGCATATAAACTCTCAAATCATTAACCTGTTCTGAACTCCATAGGCACATATGTGGGGAAAAAAACCACTTGCAAATGTTCATTGCTGTAGACAGGGTAAACAGGATCAGATCAGGTTTTTAGTTTGATATTTCATTGTCCCTTTTTCATTCTTGGGTGTCAGAATAAAACATGTCTATAAACACATGTGAGTTGTTTATTAGATCACTTCAGAATTAGTGTTGAATTCCTTAACTTCATGTGAAGTTGTTTCCCTCTTGAAAAGGTGTTGAAAAAGCTTCTATAGTGCTGTGTCTGAAAATTCAGAGACCATCCTTGCATTCTCTGTTCGTGTTTTATATCCTGCACTACGTGCTCAGCAAGAAGACATTTCCCCTTGGAAGAGAAGTCGCCTTCCTGGCAATGTCTACAGTAAAATAACATTAAAAAGAAATACAAGTACACATGTATTAGGAAGTGAATGGTTCCTTTTATTACTGCTGGCCATTTATTAAAAAGGAGATGGTTCTGGTTTAATTAACCCAGTTGAGAGTAGCAGATGGGGCAGAATGTCTTGCAGCGATAAGACAATTCCGAAATGGCACCAGATGTTGGAAGCTGTCCCTGGTGGTGTTTGAGTGCAGCACAGATGTTCCAGTCCCACCTGGCTGCCTCCTAAGCACTGCAGGCTAAGCAGCTGTGATGTAACCTATATAATGTACGCAGAACACTAAAAGCAAAATAATTGAACTGCTGCAGCTTCTTCTGAGGGTGGGACTGCTTGGAGGTGAAATCTTTAAGGACAAACAAATAAGGTCAACTTCTTGGCTTCCTCTGGTCAGTGGAATACCTGCTTAAAAACAGTACCAACCACAACTAGGTGATTTTTATAACTTTTCTGAGTTTATTTTAAAAATCAGCTTTACAATATGGTTCTTAAATCTTCTGCTTTTATACCATGGCTATATCTTTTAGTGAAAAATTGTTACTATGCTGTATTCAGAAGTCAATAATTTATATGCTGTATACAAATGTCTCGTTGGAAAACTTAATGTTCTTGCTGTAGAAAGGAAGCAAACTTATAAAAAAATGAACACAAATGCAAGCTCTATCCCTGAAATCCTAATTCAAGATCATTGCAGAATCATTCATGCTTTAAGTAACACAAAAACTAAATAAAAGGTGACATGTAGTTTTTCATAGGAAGCATAATAAATTAACTTTTATACAATAACAGTGGTTGGCCTTTTTATTTTATCCTTCCAAAATTTAATTTTACAAAGTGCCAAACTAGTAGCATTAGTCCCCAGTTAAAAACTTTTAAATCTTTTTAATATCTCAGAATTTATTTTTAGAGGTGACAAAAACTTGCACGTTTTAGTTCTTCCCATGGAAAACAAAACTGCAAAATCTGCAAGGCAGTTGGAAATAATCCAGTTTATTGTTGCACAGGCTTATATAAACATAGTGTGAGGATGAACAGGAAAACAGAGCTGAATTAGGGAGCAGAATCAGTAAAGGCATTGTGTCAAGTGCAGAACAGCTTTTCTTCATAAATTCCACATGCAGTTGTTGCAATGGATCTTTGCACAGTCCTGTAACAATTTTTGCCTTCCCTGTCTTCCTAGGTGGATCAAGTGACCCATTTGGAGGATTTGCTGATTTTAGTTCACCTGCTGCTTCAGCAAGTTTCCCATCATCGCAAGGTAGGATTGATTTAGGGACTGCAGTGCTGCTGAGGGGTGGAAGGAGGGCAAGAGATGCCATGTGGCATTATTGAAAGTCCCTTCCCTTTCCAGGGTAAAGTGTGTGTGTAACTGGACCACAAGTGCTGTGGGAGGAAGGAAGATGCAGCCTGGCTCAGTGCATGTGCAGACATTTTACCTGCAGACAGGACAAGCTTATCAGGAGACATGGCCACCATCTGAAAAGGTTTCCCTTAAAATTGGACTGGAAATAATAAAATATGCTTGGAAACCTCCTAAAGTGATCTATTTTACTTTGGTGGAATCTTTGTGGGATCTACAGGGAGGAGACAACCCTGGAGTGGAGAGAGCTGGCTGGCTGTTCTTTGTGAAGTTGATTTGAGCAGGAGTGATGTTTGTGATGAGAAGTTCTCAGCCAGGGTGCAGGATGAGGTGCAAAATGAGAAAAGAGCAGCAGAGAGGCTGACCAGCAAATCTACCTGGGAGCCAGCTTTTACTCAGCATGTTTCCATCTCCTCCTTTATTTTGCTGTGTTGGGAAGGCTCTGCTGGGCCTAAATTAGTTAATAGACCTTCAGTTCACTTGGTAAGAAAGAACTGCTCTGTTTTTTTACAAGCTTTTACAGTCAAACCCAAGTTGTTTTGCAAACACAAAGCTGCCTACTATGCAAATAACTCCTGTGTTAATACCGTCTAAATTGATATAATCCTTTATCTGCATTAACATGATTAATCTATTCCAATCACCATTATGCAAGGGGCAAGGAGTCCTGTGAAATTATTAATCATTCCTGAACAGTGTAAGCCCCTCTAGAAATCTTTTCCTTCTTGATTAATCATCTTTGAAGTCCTACTGAAGGGGCAAAACCATCTCCCTTTTACCCCCTCTTCCATTATTGGTGCTCAATGCACAGGTCTGAACACAGAAGAAGCACACTCAGCATTTACTTATCTATCAGGAATATTTAAAGTAGGTTTTAATTTTTAATATGTAATACTAATTGAAACATTCTAATATAGTGCCTCTTTGTGAGGAAGATCAAAGCAAATGTTCTAGTAAGGCCCTGAGCTAATGAATATTAGCCCACTTCATGCACTGAAGTTGTTGGCTATACTTGGAATTTGTGAACAAATTTACTCTTCTACTTTTCTTTAAATTGTAGTGTGTTGGTATAAAGAGAAACTTCAACTAAAGGTTGAAGGTGTACATTGATAAATATTTACACAAAGTGTTAAAGGCTGCTGCAGTTACCCATGAGTGGTTGGAATACATTATGGAAGCAGCCATTGCATAGGGCAGGAAATAGAAACTGCCACTGGTTTCATCTGCCCCAGCTCTGCGTGTTTGAGTCTTTGTTCAGTCAGCGAAAGAAATCCGAGAGATGATTTAAATGTTCACCAGCCCTCAGAGTTTATTTCCTATGGCAGCACTGTTGTTTGTGATGTAGCTGAAGTACCAAAAGTGAATCAGAGGGAGAATCAAAAAGCTGACTTAGCTAGTGGCCCAAGCTCGGAGTGTGATTCACTGTGTAGCCTGTGAGCTGTTTAAATGGTGTTGCTTTATATTCAGCATCTTCTGCAAATGCCGTTTTAAGCTTTTCTTCCCCCATCAGTGCTGTGAATCAACAGTTTCCTTGTTAATAGGGAAACATGTTTTGAGGGAGGGAACAACTCCTCCTGTTTGACTCCAAGGTTTGACACGCTCTCAGTTCACTGGTTTGTGTCACAACATCTGTGATGCTGAAGAGGTGCCCTTGCAGGTGTCTACAAACAGCTCATGCTGCTGGCTCTGCCTTCACAGAGAAATACAGAGAGAGAGAGCTCCGAGTTCTGTGTTCTGATTTAAACACTTGTCTCCAAAAACCCCACCTATTGAAATGGAGCAGCGTTTAAGTGATGAACTACAAGAGTTCAGCAAAGCTGCCGCTGAGAGAAATTATTGATTCAAATCAAGGCATTTAGTTCAGGAATCAAATTTAAAGAACCTAATGTGTTTTACATGAGCACTGCATGGATGAGAAGTGCTTATTCCTTATCACCTCAAATAAGCTTTTCCTGGCAACCTGCTCTCGAAGTTCTGGGTTTTACTCCTCCCAGCCTGGTTTTATACAAAAAACTACAGTTGAATACAACCAAATTTGGATGTAGTTGTCTTTATTATGATGGAATTTGCTTTATCCAGTTGCTTGTTCCTGACAACTGCTCTCTCTGCAAATATCACAATGCCAGAAGAGAAAAGGTTGATCAATATTATCCAGGTTCTCAGTGTTGTTCTGATTGTAGTCTCCAGTCTACTCCATGTTATCTTCTAGTTGTACTTCAACTGAAACAAACCTGTTCCTGCATGCCTGGCATCCACAGGTGACATCTTACCAAACAACTTCTACTTTCTGTGTACGGGTGTTTCATGTTTCCTTTTGTACCTTGCTAAAATTGTTGGAATATTCATGAGAGGGAATGATGTCCAGATGGAGGTTCTACCTGCAGATGTTAATCTGGACGGACACAGATCAGCTCTCATTTGTTTCAGTTCATGGAATAAGGCATTTGCTCAGTGCCTTTCTCTAAGTCCCATCTTTCTTCTCTGTGTTCCTTCCTCCCACACTGTTGCCTTTTCTTCAGGTACAGCAACAAGTGGAAATGGAGACTTTGGTGATTGGAGTGCCTTCAACCAAGCTTCTCCTTGTGCCAGCGCTTCATCTGGTGAGCTCTTCAGCAGCACAGCACAGCAGCCAGCTCTAGAGCTCTTTAGTGGCTCACAGCCAGCTCCAGGCCAGCCTTCAGCTGCTTCCAATTCTATGGATCTTTTTGATTTGATGGGACCCTCTCAGACAACCATGACCTCCACACAAAGCATGAATTTCTCCATGATGACTTCCAATTCCATGGGTGTCAGTTTACCCATGTCCAGGTCACAGGTATGCTGCTATTGCTACAGTCTGTTAATGACCTTCTCCTCCTGAACCACAGCTTTGAAAATGAATCTGTTCCTCTCCTGGAATGCATTAAACCTGGTCACTCAGATGGGATCAGCATTTTGTCAAAAATTTTTCAATTGCATCCTAAACAGAAAAGTCTCTTCTTGAAGATGGGCTTCATTGATCTAGGAAGTGTAGCTGCTTTTTTGGAGCAGTAGAGATTGGTAGTGTAAGGCCATTCTCCACAGAATGTTACAGGTTTCCAGCCTCAGGTAGGTGGAGGAGAGGACTGGTCTGTTCTCCAAAAGACAGAAGTGCCTGCTGCAATGGAGAGTGGTTTGGAAACTGTAATGGATCAACTTGGTATTAGGAGGAAAGAATCAGCATGTTTGAGTTCAAAACCTGGCTGCTGCTGGTCACCCCACATTGATGTGGGACTTGACCTCTGCTTATAAATACTCTTCTAATCTAACTGGAACAGCACCTGGCAGCCTTGCTTTGGGAGAGCTAAAGTTCAAGGCTTCATGGGGTTTTATTATCTCCTGTGGAAAACTAAATACTTTTTGTTAGTCCTATTTTCTACCAGTACGTTGTTTTAAGTGAATCCAAACAAACTTTTCTTTTTTAGCCTCTGCAAAGTGTGAACCCAATGATGCCGAAGTCTAACTCACTTTATAATGCAAGGACAGAGATGGTCCAGAAAAATGCAAGCAAAACTCTACCCTCAACTTGGTCAGATCCCAGTGTAAATATCAGTTTGGACAATTTAGTACCTGGGATGCAGCCTTCCAAACCCCAACAGCCATCGCTTAATACCATGATGCAGCAACAGAGTAAGTGATGGTTGCATTGTTATACACACTGAGCCCTGTCTGTGTTCCATAGGCTGTCCCTGAGATCCAAATCTTTTGTCCATTACTGTTTTCCTTCCTTTAGTCACACTTGTTTCATAAACCACTGTGACATTGTGACACAAGTGTTCTTCAAGTGGAGATTGGTGTGTCAGGAGGTTGTGCCTGTGCAGGTTCTGCTGTAGAGTTTGCACCATGGCTGTATCTTGACTTTGGGCTTCCTAATCTTTAGAACTTCTCTAGAATATTTATTGGTATAAAATGATATTCACACCTTCTATAGACATTTTCTGAGTCTTCACACAGAAAATAGGGAAACAAATGCAACAGAATCGTAAAGGTTGGAAAAGACTTCAGGGATTGCCAAGTCCAAACTATGACCCATCCCCACCCCGTCAGCCAGCCCAGAGCCCTGAGTGCCACCTCCAGTCCTTCCTTGGACACCCCCGGGGATGGGAACTGCAGATGTCCCTGGGCAGCCCCTTCAGTGCCCCACCACCATTTCAGTAAAGAAATTCCTCCTGATGTCCAAATCAGGAAACAGCTGCAGGCCTGGCCATCATACCCATGTTCACAGCAGTGACCACACGAGTTCCTTAAAACACATGAGCTCCTTCAGTATGACCAGGTTCTACTCAGTGATTTTTGTGCTCTTTCTCTTTGCTGCAGATATGCAACAACCGATGAATGTCATAACGCAGAACTTTGCAGCTGTGAACCTCAGCCCCCAGCCCAGCATGATGCCCGTGCGAGCGCAGAGCAGCGCGCTGCTGGGAGCGCCCCTGGGGCTGGCAGTGCCCGGGGTGCTGTCAGGCACGATGGGCATGGCCTCCATGGCCCCCACGCCCATGATGAACCAGGGAATGATGGGCATGAACATGGGAGTGCCGGCCACGGGAATGGGCACAATAGGAATGGGGGTACCCAACATGGCTATGACCTCTCTGACTCCTGGGACTGTACAACCCAAGCAAGATGCCTTTGCAAATTTTGCCAATTTTAGCAAATAAAGATTGTAAAATAAATAAATAAAATGAAATTAAAATAAATGGGCAGACTGAATGAAGGATTTTTAGCTGCACAAATATAGCTGGGAAAGGGATGGGAAACACTGATCAGTTTTTTTTTTTTCTTTATCAGTTAAAGTGTCTACATAAAGAACCAAAAGCTATTTTCTAAGTGTTGAAATAACTAGTGTTGAAATTCTGGAGAGGTCAGAGATTCTTCTAAGGAATGTGTTGGATGATTTTGCAAAATAATTTGTATTAAGACCATCAAAAAACCTTTCCTACATAGAAGAACCAATTTTAACTTTGAGACTTGATGGAAGACTGGATTGGGGACTGGATAAAAATGTTTGAATCTAATTTTATACTTTTCTTTTTTCTTGAAGAGCTTTGACTTTCTTTTCCCCCTCTCCCTGATCGCTTTGTCATAATTGGATCATTCCTTTTACTACCACTGAGTCCACAATTGTGAAGTCACTCAAGTACTATGATCAGTTTTTTATAAGAATATATATTTTTGTCCAAAAATGGCTTACATATGTGACTATGGCTGATTCAAAGGGACCTGGAATGTATATATACTTTTGCTAATGTTCCAGCCACACTGCTGTATTACCCAAATTTTTATTGTAAAAATCCTCTCTCAGCAATTTGGTGATCAACAGATTTTTGGGGTCTTAACGTGCTTCTAATGTTACAACTGATATCCCGTGCAAGTCTGGGAGAAGCTTTATCCAAGACTGCTGGAGAATTCCTTTCAGAAAACTGCAGAAAATGCACTTTCTTGGAGTTCTTTTCCAGTGGCACTTGGCATCCTTTGTAGCACCAATGTCCCTAAGGAGCCACTGGTTTAGGGCATCAGCAGCAGGTGAATCACACTTCAGTGATGTAAATCTAGAACCTAACTTAATCCAATGGCATTGAATTCTGACTTTTATACAACACTTGGTGATTCTTTTGTGTAAATATGGCATTAGCAGCTGTGGAATCCAATAGAGGAGTAAAAAAATATATATATTAATAAAGGAGACCTGTAGCAGTCAAAGATTTTACTGATTTACTGAAAGCAAAAGAGTGAATTAAGGTTTTGGGGGGTTTTGTTTTTCCTTCTGTAATTCTGCATTTAAGTTCACATGAATCAAGATTTTAGAATCTGGAACACAAAGACATTGTTATATTCACAAGCTGGGAATATTGTTAGGAATAAGCACTATACTATAGGTATGAAATTTATTGCCTCCCTTTTCTTATGTTGGATTTCTTTTTTATTATTAAATTGATAAAACTTTGTTTCCATTGTATTCATAATGTTCTGTTATACATAACATTAAAATGTTCATTAAAATCAATGTTGGGCTGCTTTTCCTTTCATTCCATTTGACGTTTATGAGAGCATTTGGGAAAAAAATAATTATAATTTGGGCAAAGTAATTTTTATAAATAATTTAAAATTGTTTAATGACTTCTTATCTGAAGCCTTTCCTATCTGGCTCTACCGTTAGGAATTAAAAATGAAGCAGGCAAGATATCCTGACCCGCTCCAGCCTTGCTAATGCTCCATCTACAACATTTCTAATTAGGCAGAAATTCATGTACTTCAGCTAAGTGGTAATGAAAAGTGATTCATTTGCTGAATAAGAGATGAGAGTGAGTGTAATTAGCTGACTGCGGTTTTTAATCTTTCAACAATTCAATGTGTTTAAATTAGTTTCAAAGAATAGGAGCTTTCAAGTGTTGTTACATCAAAGTAATCAAGGCAGCCTTCAACAGCTGAGTAGGAGAGATGGCTCTGGTTCCTGTTCTGAAACCTTTACACTTATTTGGAATAATCATCTTCAAACCCTCTCGATGGAACAGATGGGAAGGCTCAGACTGGTTCAATGTATGCAGAATTATGGTGGGAAGGAAGCTCCTTCCAGGGCTGGGAGATGGGGCTGAGGAAAGCTAAACCTGGAGTCAGTGTTGTTTCCCTGTCGTGCTGGTGCAGTGCTTCTCAATCCTCCTTGGAAGGTTTTGGGATGCATAGGATGAGTCTGTTCCTCATGTTGTCCTTCTAAGGTGGGTTTGGCCAGTGACACAGTCAGCTCTGAGTTGAGGGACCATGTCCCTGTTCAGGTTGTTCACATCTCTTCAGAGGAACCCTTGGTTTTGGTTCTAATTGACATTGGTGATAACAAAGCAGATTTGTCGGGGGTTGGAGTCACTCCATGTGGTCCCTTTGGGTGGGTCTTTGTGGCTGTGCCAGTTGCACCTCGGTCAAGGGTGCCCTGGCTCAGGGAGCAGGGATAGGAGTGACCTGATCTCTGGCCATCCCATGGGTCAAGATCCTCCATACGAAGCAGGGAGTGTGTGGAGTGTGAGAAGCAGCTTTGTCAGCCAGCCAGCTCCTCTGCCGGTGGGTGAGAACAAAGTCCTTCAAACCAAAACAAACATCAGAAACCCTGGAAAGGTTCTTTCAAAATGTGGTCCGGGTGCATCCCTGTGCTTATTTTCTGCAGTGATGGGAGCCTGCAGGTTTTCTTCCCAGCTCAAGCACATGGATCTTAGATAGCAGTGCTTAGCAGAATGTGCTTTACATCTTTATTTAAAGACTGAATATAAATGGGTACTTGCTTAAAACAATATTGAACTTGTTTAAGATAAATACCATAAAATGTTTCCATCTCTGATATTTCAGGTATGAACAAAATAATACCTTTAAGCCAGAAATTACCTTTCTGGGTGAAAATACAAATGAGCTACTTTGTGAATGGGGACAGATCTGCCAGTTATCAACTGCTGCCTTACAGAATTCAAATATAACCAAAATCATGCTGCTGTGTTAGTACAGCTGCTTTCTTCATTTTTGAAGCCAGGTCCAGCTGTACCTGTATCTCTTCAGAAGAGTTTGGTTGGCTGGATATATCTGTATACAGAAACATAGAATTCAATACATGGAATGACATGATTCTGTAAATTAACTGTGCTTGGTCCTGAGAGTTAAACTTTTGCCACCTCTGGATTCTGTAGCTTCTTAACTTCAAAAGAGTTCAATTAAAATGAGTGCACTCCTTTGTAAAAGTCGTCTCTACTTCAGAAGAAGAGAAAAGGGCAGCAGAACCCAACTCTGTGTTTGTTTTTTTTATAGGATCATTTAAAAAAATGTATCTTGATGTGTACAAAGGAGTAATAAATTCCAGCACAGGTGCAAGTTCAATGATAACTAGAGCACCCACCATGTTCTACAAAAGAAATTATATTCAAAACAGCTAAACAAGGGTATTTATAGCAGCATCTGTTTCAGCTCTATCTGTCAGCTAAGAACAGTCTGACACAGCTTAGGGGAGGTGGGGGAGGGATTTATCAATGGAGTGTTTACATAATGCAGGCAGGCATTGTATACTCAAGGTGATACCAGCTATAACAGGATAACAAATATCTAAAGACACTTTTATTCTCAGAGGCCTTTGCTCCAGGAGTCACTCTACAAAATTGCCTCCATGTTCCTCTGTGCTCGACTGTAAACACACTCATAGCAGATGACATTTTATACTGGCATCGCTGGCTTCTGATTAAGGCTTTTAATGCTGAGGGCATTTTTTGGTTTTAATTTTTTTCCTTCCTCACAGGTTTTATTCCAAGGTGTCACTGGCTAAAATTTAGAATTGTTTCAGGCTTTCAGTTGTTTCAGGATTTCAACCACTTCTTCCTCTCCTGGTGATGAAAGTGCAGATCCTTCTTGGGACGGAGTGGGGTTGTTGCTGTGTGCAGTTAGCCAGAAACCACAATGCCCAGGATCCTTTTTTGCCCAGATCCCATGGACTTGGAGCTGACTTGGATGTTTTAAACATTTCCATGGGCAAAGGGCTTCCTGGGGGTGGTGGTGGTAGCCCTGCTTCTGGGAGCTGCTTTTACAGCTTTGAGCAAAGAAGTTGCAAAGACATCGCGGTGAGCTGGGTTAATGTTGTGAGACTCAGAAGGATGGCTCCTGGAATTTGTAGGTCAATCTCTACAGCTTGTTCAATGATCTGGTCACAGTTTTAGCTAGCTGGGATGCCGTGGAATTTTTATCCTCCATGTAAAATGACCTTTAAAAACTGAGATGTGTCTCATTTTCATTTTTATGTGTTTCTGCACCCACTATTCACCTAAGGAATGACAAGAGGTAAGAGAAAATCTGCAGGATGGGGAAAATTAAGAAAGATGCCTTTGCAGAATTCAGTGTATCCCTGGATTCTGCAGCTGGGGATCCTTTACATGGAGTAATCCAGTCTCCACTTCTATGTAAGTCCTGTGTGTGTTCAACAGCAAAGTCTCAGCTCATCTCTGTTTTTAAAAATGTCTTTACTCCTCACAAATTTCCAGATTTTTTTTTTTAAATTGTGCCATAAGGTACTGGCTCAGTAATTAACTGGTTCTTTAATCGAGCCACAATTACTTTGTTTCATGAGAAGGGAAAAAAAAAGAATGTATACCAAGACAGAGCTACTTTCGACATCTGGGAACCTCCTAGCAGCTGGCTATCTAATGAATATGCATCTGCTTAAGAGGCTGTAGGCCATTAATAAACCAATAGATATAAAACAGAAACAATCTTTGTCAGCTTCAAATGGGATTGGATGCAATGTGCTGTGAAGTGTCGCTGTCACATTGAATCCAGCCGGGGAGGTTAAGGCGGCTCCGCTGCGGGGAAGGCGGAGGGAGAAGCGGCTCCAGCGCCGGGGCAGGACGGGGCCGGGCCCGCCGAGCTCTGCTGCTGCTGCCGCTGCCTTTTCCCTCCTCATTCCTCCGGTACCAGCTGGGTTTGAGGCACCGGTGGCCTTTGGTTTGCTACTGCAGCAGTTGTGTCCATTTGGGTTTGTGCTGGGGTTTCCCACACAAATGATTGGAACCGCTCACGTGAATAAATGACTGGGGAGAAGTTACAGGAATGTGATAAAAATGCACCTATTTGACTGAGACCTGGGGCTTTGTAAGGAGGCTCAGAAAAGCCCCTGAGCCGTGTTGTACAACAGGATTGTTGTAGGGTGAAATAAATCCCCTTGAAACAGTGACAGTGACCTCATGTGACCGTACAGGTATCTCTGACCCCTCAAGAGTTGTATCTGTGCTTGTTCCAAGGCACAGATATGTTGTACCAGCATTTGGTACCTTACAGTTGTTATGTGCCTTTGTTTCCTGTGGCAGCTCCCATAACACATGAAATGGATTTATTTTAGCGTGCTCTATCCTTTCTGCACAGCCTGTGTTAGTCCAGGGTGTCCCTCTTTGCAAGGGATGGTCACCCCATGCAGTGGCTGCTTGCAGCAGTTGAGGAATGGTACCTAGGTGGCATTTTCCTGCGAGAAAATCCATTATTTCAGCTCAAGCCCCACTACTGGAACAGGGCACTGTCAGCTGCATTAGAGCTGGGCTGCAGGCACCCCTGGGACAGAGATAGCATTTATTTAATTTATTTTTGGTTCTGGGGACTTGGACTAACAGTCTGGTACCTCCCCTGGACTCCACTTTGGAGCCTGACTTATTTTAAGTCTGTTTCAGTTCCCAGAAAACTATAAATTGAGATTTGGAGTAGTTGTCTGTGCAGCTCAAGTTTAAAGAGCAGTCTTCAGTTTAGCAGAAATTGTAACACAAAGTTTTTTGCCCCCGGATTTACAGGTTTTTGTCACAAGAAAATGGAAGCAAGAGAAGTTAAAATGGGAAGATGAGTGCTCTGTAATTACTGCAGATCTTACTAGCAGCTTCTCAAGAGAGAAAATTTGCACTCTGTATCATTACATCAATATAATTTAAACGAAAATCTGTTAATAAGATTGACTTAATTCCTAGAACAGTGTTTGTCTTACCCTTAGTTTTAAGACAGTAGATTACTCAAAGTCTCTTTCAGAGCTGCAGCCGCCCTGGTGACAGGTCTAACTGCTGAGACTTGAAGTTGTACTTCGAGGCTCGGTGTAAAGAGGAGGTGCAAACCTCTGCACTGCAGCCGGGCTGGAGCTCTCTCTCCTTGCTTCGCTGCTGTGCTGCCACAGCCCCTGGGCAGCAGCCAGGGCTGCGGACGGTGAGGGGACAGGCTGGTCACTGAGAGCCGCCCACTGCCCTCCCCGAGCTCTGCCTTTCAGCCCAGCCTCAGCAGCGCTCTCAGACTGCCGGGCGTTTATCTTTTTTGAGGCAGACAAAAGAGCACGAGGCAAACGAGGGCTGTCCTTTTAAGTGCTTTCACTTTTCAAGGTCATTTGTGGAGCTTTCATCAATCAGAAAGCTAAATCCATACAGAAAGCATCTATAATGAACCAAGCATATCTCAAACCTTATCCCTTCAGCTGAATACGAATTATCCAGGAAGGTGTTTCAGTGGCCATGTTCACCAAGTTCAGCATCTCTGTGAACATTTATAAAGTAAGCAGAGAAGCCACTACCATTGTGATTTGGCATCTATCAATTTCTTGTCTTTTTTTCTGTAATTGATTTATTAATTACAGCATCTTAATGATCTATTTAAAATAAATAAACCATTTACACCATTTCAAAGGTATTTTGTGATGTTCAGCTGATATTAAAATAGCACCAGCCTTATGTGCTTTTTCAGCAAGTGACCTAATTAGTTAATAAAGTAATTGAATATTAAAAAGGATGTTGCAAGTGATTAAAATTTAAGAGCCTTCAGAACATTATTAAAGCTATAAATCATACATCACTGTTTTAATTTGCATAGCTACAGAATTACTAATGGTCCCACATGCATAAGCTACTTGGCAATTAGTCTTTTAACAAACTGTTGGTGATACTGTAAGGTTACCAAAATCTTTCTCCGTTTTTGATTTGCAAACAAAATCCAGGATTGGAGAGCATTAAGGGTTAAATTCCTAAAAGCCAGGAAATTTGGTTCTTTCAGTTTTCTCCCTACCTGCCTCTGTTTGCCCCTTGTCCCTCCACCTTCCAGGCAGGAGAACAAATCCTCCCAAGTCCCCCCGAGGTGTGTAAAGGACATGAGGAAGTGTCTGCTCCCACCTTGAGCTTCCTGAACTGGCCTCCAAGTGGTTTTACCAGCCCAGTGTGATGTGCATATATTTCCCTACCTGGTGCTGGGCTATTTTCCATCCTTCTCTCATACACATGCAACAGTCACAGAGCCACTTTCCTTCCCAGGAAAGCGGCACTGGGCAGACAAAGGGAGTTGCTGGCTGTTGGCAGTCGTGTGGGAGAACCACACCAGGTGCTCGTCACCTTCCATTCCCTGTGCTGGGGCTTGCAGTTCGCAGGAAATCTCAAATATCTGCAAACAAAAAAGGGTTGGAAAAATGATTGGAGCTTCCTGCCCGGCACCACGGGGCAGCCGTGGCAATGAGGGTCAGCTGCCCCCGGCCGAGGCCTCGGGCTGGCTGCAGGCAGGAGGAGAGACAGGATGACACTTTTCAACTTAATTAGACACAAACTGCGCTGCCCGGCTGAGCCGGCCCGGTCTCCCCTCTCCCGGGCCGGCAGTGACGGCCAGCGGAGCACGGTCCAGCGCACAGGCAGAGCGCGGGGCTGTCTCTGCCTTCAGCGCTCGCAGCCTGACAAGGGGCGAGCGGTGCCGGGGCAAAGGGAAGGACCCGGTGTGCGATGGAGCAGAGCCCGGCTCCGTGCCGGGGCACCGAGAGCTGCGGGAGGGGAACGCCGGAGCTCCAGCACAGCCGCTGGCGGCTCCGCAGCCTCTCCCGGAGCACACCCAGGGGTCGGATCCCGCTGTCACCTCCCGGAGCAGACCCAGGGGTCGGATCGCGCTGTCACCTCCGCAGCCTCTCCCCGGAGCAGACCCAGGGGTCGGATCGCGCTGTCACCTCCCACCGGACCCCTGGAATGGTTTCCCTGCTCCTGTCCCAGGGCCAGACTCACAGCAAGAGTGGCTGCCTGAGGAGTTGCTGATTTCCCCACCGTTTGCTTTGAGGCAAGGTCTTCACAGAATCACAGAATTGTGGAATGGTTTGAGTTGGAAGGGACCTTAAATACCATCTAATTCCAACCCTCCTGCCACTCAGCCAGCTTTCCACCAGACCAGATTGTTCGAAGTCCCATCCAGCCTGGCCCTGAACCCTTCCAGGGATGGGGCAGACACAACTTCTCTGGGCAACCTGTGCCAGGGCTTCAACACCCTCACAGCCAAGAATTTCTCTCTAATATCAAACCTCAACTTACTCTTTCAGCTTGGAGCCATTCTCCACTTGTCCTTTCACTACATGCTCTTCTCCTCTCTCTTTGGGAGCTGGGATTTCAGCATCCCAGCCCATCACAGGGACTGGTGCCTGTGTGGATCTTGCTCCCTGGTCCTGCCCTCACACCCTGCCCAGCTGGGCCACTGCAGGTGGCTGCCTGAGTAAGCTGTACCTTCATCTTGCAAGCCTCAAGTCTTTTTTTTTTTTTTTTTTTTTTAATAAATGGAGAAAAAAAGTCTTTACAGAACAGCATTCACATGTGAAACAAAGGCACTCTTTTGCCCAGTCAGCAGAAGCCTTGGTATAGTTTTGGCTATTAAAGTGCTACACTACCAGAGGAATTTCCTTTTTGGGCAGCAGAAACTTTTCAGGAGCTTCCTTTGAAGCCCTTATTGAGGTCAGGGGCTGCAGCCTTTTGTAACGTCTCTGTGTCAGCCTATAGCAGTTTTGGGAAGCCCTTACACTGGATATTGTGACCACCACCAGCTCTTTGCTCATTAGTTTACTCTTGCTGATAGATGTGAGGCCAGGGTGGAGGATGGTTTCAGCAGTGATGTACACTACTGCACTAACACTTGCCATTACTGTAATAGAGGGAGACAGAACCACCCTCTTTTAAGGATCTTTTTAATTAAAACACTAAGATGAGGAATGGGTGACTTCAGAGCATTTTGACCCAACAAGGAATGACAAGCAAGTGGCTGCTTTTAAAATAAACTAATTAATAGGCACTATCTTATCAGTATAAAGCTGTCAGCACATGAGGAGGGTGGGCAAACCCAGATGCAAAGCATTTGTAAATGAGGCTGTGCACACACACAAATGTTAGTGCAGTACCAGCAACACAGCAAGGAGCACACTTTGAAACATCCAGCTCCAAAGGCAAAGAGGAGGGGTTTGGAGCTGATTACAATTCACACCTTAGGGAAAGTTACATCCACAATCTGTTTCAGTGCACCTTGACTCCACCACCCAGTATCACTTCAGTGTTGTAACATCACCTGCCAGCCCTCACAACACAGGAAGGGGATCAGAGCCCACCCAGGGTGACACATCTGCCTCTGGACCAGCATACTCTGCCCAGTTGAGATAGTAACTTTTTAAACACCTGGTTTTCAAAACACTACAAACACAGGCAATTTCAGAAGCAAACACAGCTGGTGCCCCTCAGCCAAACACCCTTTCCCGACACACAGTCAGGAACTGTCCCACATACACTAACTACTCCTTATTTCATATGGGATCCCTTCCCTCTGAAACACTCTTCCAAAAGAAGACAACTAAAAGCCATTTCCCTGCTCTCACATTTGCACTCTTGATGCAAAGAGGTCCTGCCAAGAGTATCCCACACCCCTTTATTCAACTTCCCACTGCTCTCATTTCCAAGCCTCCAAGGCAATTGCAAGTTTTTGTCCAGTTGGTTTTTCCACCAGCTTTGGGATGTTGTCTAGCAGATGCTCACTTTTCCCCAAAAGAATCAGCAAGGAGCCCTTGCTCCCAGCAGAGCAGAGGAGTGCAAGATCAGGAATGTTCTGCTTTCTGGTCCAGCTTGTCCCAGCTCACAGAACAGACAGGGTCCTCATTCAGTCAAAGAATCACTGAGGTTGGAAAAGACAACGAGGATAATCGAGCCCAGCCTGTGACTGATCCCCACCTTATCAGCTAGACCAGAGCATGGAGTGTCATATCCGTCATTCCATGAACACCTCCAGGGGCAGTGACACCTCCCTGGGCATCCCTCACCTCCAGCTCAGGGCTGACAACAGGGGGTGATGGCATGCATTGGTCAAAACTTAGTCCCTGTGTGTTGCCTTAGGTGCATCTCTGCAAGTTCACTCCTGGTTTGCACCAGAGCCTACAAAGGGAACTCCATGATAGGCAAAACATCTCTGGATTTATCACAGGGAATGTGCAGACACAAATCTGAAGACCTTGCAGGGAGGCAGCACTTGGTGGAGGAAACCAAAGCCACGGCCAGGCCGGGCAGGAGTGACAGCACAGCTCTGCCAGGGAACTCCTGCGGGTGCTTTGGGTACAGGAGCAGGGGCCCTGTAGCTGTCCAGCAGGGATGAGGACGTGGCTGGAGGAGATGCTGCCCATGGGAGGAGTGCAGGAGCTGCTGCTGGATCTGCTTGAACACATCGGGAAACAGCGACTGCTGCCACAGGACTCTGTGGGGATCCTCACCTTGTCACATATTTACAGGCAGAAATCACAAATCGTTTATACACAACGATGCAGTGAAGTAAATCCTATAAAATGCTGTTGTTGGAGAATGTGGGTGCTGGGGTAGAGTTGTGTGTAAATGCACCAGAGCAGGCTGGAAGAAGGAAACCAGCCCCTTGCTGTCCTGCCCTCTGGGGGATGAGGCCCAAGCTCGGCACGTTTTTTCCATCAGAGCATGTCAATGGAACAATTGTACAATGTTGATCAGGAAAAGGATGTGGGAGCTTAAGTGGAAAAGCTGATGCTGTCATGCTCATGGCAGAGAGCAGCAGGAAGGATGGCAAACAGGACACTCACCATGCACAGGGGCTGGTTGCAGGCACATCCAGGCACACTCTGGTACACTTTGACACATCCGGGCACACTCAGGCACACCAGAAATATTTGGGCATACTCAGACACACCTGGGCGCACCCAGGTGCACTCAGACACACCCAGACACTCTCAGGTATAGTAAATGCAGGTGAACCCGGTAGGAAGAAATGCTGATGTCTGACTCCAGTTCAGAAGGCTGAATGATTTCTTTATTATCGCTATATTACAATACATTAATATTCTACTTAAAAGAGATACTAAAACTACAAACCTACTTTTTCTAACTACCATATCTAACTCTTCACAACTCGTGACCTTCTCTGAGAGTCCAGCCACAGGTGGGTTGGATTGGCCACCAGGCTCAAACAATCCTCACCAGAATCCAACCAAGCAATCACCCCAGGTAAACAATTCTCCAAACACATTCCACGTGGGAAAAACAAAGGGCAGAAATAGAAAGTGTTTTCTCTTTCTCTCCTCTGTGCTCCTCTATGAAAGATCCTGAGAGAGAGAGAGAGAGAGAGAGAGAGAGAGAGATGTCCCTGTGACACTGAGGCACACTCGGACACACCCGGGCACACTTAGGCACACTTGGGCACATTCTCACACACACACTCAGGCACACCCAGACACACCTGGGCACTCTCAGACACACCTGGGCACACTCTGGCACACGCATGTACACAGAGGCACACTCAGACACACTCAGACACACTCGGGCACACACATGTACACCCAGGTACACTCAGGCACACCCGGGCACACACATGTACACCCTGGCACACCCGGGTACACAGAGGCACACCCGGGCACACACATGTACACCCAGGCACACTCAGACACACTTGGGCACACTCGGGCACACACATGTACACCCAGGCACACCCGGGCCCAGCCGGGCCCAGCCGGTCCCCGCACGGCGCCGGGCGCGGTTGGCGGTCCCGCCGTCCCTCCCGTCCCCTCACGGCCGCCCGGGGTTTCCCTGCCCGCTGCTGCCCCCTGGCGGCTCCGGCCCGGAGCGGGAGCGGGAAGGGCCCGGCCCGGCCCGGCCCAGCGCGGCCTGCGGGAGCCCCGATCGCCCTGCGCAGAAAGGCAGCGCCTGTCGATCCCGCAGTTCCCGGGTTGCAATGGGAATTCCTCCTTCTAGCCAAGCGCAGGGACACCTTCCGCTATCCCAGGCTGCTCCAAGCCCCGTCCAACCTGGCCTTGGACACTTCCAGGGATGGGGCAGCCGCAGCTGCTCTGGACAATCTGTGAGAGGGCCTTACCACCCTGAGAAGAAAGAATTTGTCCCTAAAAAGACATTTCTGATCCAAATGTATCAGCATGATTTACCATGGGATAAGAAAGGTTCCTGGAAGTCACTGGCTATGCACACTCTGGAGCAGATGCTTGGATGCTGGCCCTGGACCACCCCAGCTCCTGGAAAACCATCTCCTGATGGCATTGTGGAAGACCACACACTAAGGTAACAGACCTTTGAGCGATCAGGCTGTTACATTTATCAACATGAAGTTCACTTCCTTTCTGTATCTCTAAAAAACAAGTATCAAGGTATTGTTACTTTGTATATTAACACCCTTTTGTAAACACAGATGACTGGTTTGTCCCTAGTTATGTGACTGGATAGCAGTGCTTTATTCACATCTGGGGGTCTCCACCTCCAGCATCTGTCCTAACCAGGGCAGTCCCAACTCCTTCACTGACACAATACGCATCACTGTATTGGTAGAGCATAAAAAAATCAGGTTTTGAGGCAAACTGTTACATGGATATATTTATTGCATTGCAGTCAGCAATTTTAAATATAAACATTTATATCTGGAAAGCAGAATATTGCAAATTTAGTATTATCCAATATGTTCATAGCAGCATCAACTTCCTAAGAAATAAAATGTTTAGGAAGACAGAGAAAGAATTACAAACAAGTTACACTCTCATTTATCACCATCTGACCCA